AGTCCCGGTCTCATGCAGTGCACAATGGCCCAGAGACAGCGTCCCTTGTCCCTCTGTGGATGCTCCATGATTCGATCACCCTTTCAGCTAGCATTTACTTCACTTTTCTGTTATTGGTTCATTGAACTGTGGGCTATGGGGCTGTGCAGAAGGCACTTCTGTACAAGATCACCATCTGGTCAGAGCAGGAACAGTCCAGCTATGCAGGCGGCTCCTCTTCTGCACCTGGTGCAGACCTTGACAGGATAGACCAGCATACCTTGACAGGCACCCACAGAAGACCAGCTGTGACCCATGAGGTTCCTCCCAGGCCAACATGCTTAACTATCCATCACTCACGGACCTTGTGCCTTCGAGAAGCCAACCAACACCTACAAGTCATATATCTGAGTGTTGACACGACCTACCTACACATGCTTTCTGCCCTACAGGGAGGCCCACCTATTCACCAAGTCGGAAGCTCCGGGCCAAATCATCTGTGCCCAAAGTTGTATGCACAGCCAGCGGTGCCTCCCTCACAATATCCGAGGCAGAGAGGGACGCCGGAAGGGTGCCACCACCGCCCGGCAATCTTTAAAATCAATGAGACAGCCGGGTGGTGGTGGCGCACGCCTTTAGTCCTAGCACTCGGGAGGCAGAGCCAGGCGGATCTCTGTGAGTTCAAGGCCAGCGTGGGCTACAGAGCGAGATCCAGGACAGGCTCCAAAACCACACAGAGAAACCGTCTCAAAAAAAACCAAACAAACAAAAAATTAATGAGACAATAATGTGCACAAACAAACCCCTCACTTGAGATCTGCGTTTCTCTGCCCACCATAGGCATGGCCAACCCAGCATGCCAGCAGGCAGCACCTGGATCAGCAGACGAAGCAGTCCGACCCTGAGCTTTCCAAGCTTCCACAGGTACAGCCTAGATCTGCACATTAGTCCTGGGCAGCTAAAAATAGCCCAGCCAGCTGAGCTGAGCTCGGTTAATGGAATACCCAAGTTAATTTTAGCATGAGAGAGCTCAAGAGAATCTAAAATCTCCCATGCCAAGGACCACATTTGGCCCACACGGCATCTTCTTAAACTCGGGCCCAGAAGCTACTGTATCACAAAGGCTATTGCCATGACTCACAAAACACCTCTTCTCTCTGAATCCAGCCTTGGCCGGCCCATGACAACTGTGTTAACCCGTAAAGCATAACCGCCCCCTGCAGGTCCATGGCCTGCTGTGTGACCCACAGCAACCCTGGTGTCAACATGCTGTGGCCAGTGGAGAGAGCAACTTCGCTCAGTGGGCTAACTGAGCTTCCAGCCTTTAATCTGGGGCTTTGTCAACTGCTGCCGACGCGTGGTTGAGCAGCCAGGCCGGCTCACACCCCTGTTTGACCCCATCCTGCACTCCTGCTCATCCTCCTTTCACTGATTCGGCCTGATTCTGGTGAGATTTTGTTGTCAGCAGAGAGGCAAGGGGGAGAATTGTAAGTGAGAAACCAGCCTTGGTCCACAGCAGCCCAATCCTGCGGGATGGGAGGAGCTACTGTTGTATGCTCTGCTGGGCACTGCGCTTCTCCATAACCACATTCTAACTGTAGAGCGAGAGCACAGAGCCTCAGCGAGGATGCACAGTGGCTGCCGTGACATCCAGGCAGACGGACTGGAGTCACCAAGAGCCCAGTGGGAACTCAGGAAGCAGAGCCTGCCTTCCTGGGGACCCGGGGAGCTCAACAGAGACCTCAGCAGAAAGAAAATGAAGAAAGCCATAACAGCGCAAGAGAACATTTTTGGTCTGGGAATGCAAAGCCAGAATTTTGAATTTTTATTTATTAATCGACAGATGATAATTACTTCTATAACACTCATCATTTTTATCCAGAGAGCACTCTCAAAAACAAGTAATAAATATTATGCAAAAGGAAAACATGACTGGGAAGTAAAGCTATATCGCAACCGCAGGGAACAGTGGGCCCAAAATAGCTGGGCAGATGAGCTCTGGCCAGGCTATCCGCCCAATCACCGCCAGCATCGACTCTAGAGAGCTGGGCTACACACTTCCTCAATGCAGCCGCCTCAAGGAAGCGTGGGTCAGTCACATGTGATGGCTGAAGATGGCTGTAACAAAGCAGTAATTGTCACCACCGACACTTAAGATTCTAAGTGCACAGAGGAACACATCCAAACAACCATGCAACTTTTAAACGGGGAAGCAACAGATTCTTCAAGACGCGATTTAAAAAATACTCTCTTTTTTTTAAATTAAGATACTTTACTTTTTTGCGGCTTTTTCTTCTGTACAAGCAAAGGGTAGACAGAATGAGAAAGAGGAAGAACAGAGAGATTCATTTCTGATGAAACCAATACTATCCTATGCTCTAAAACCAAGTAGAGGCCAAGCCTCACAGCGTTGACCCCTTCCCTGCGTTCTTACAGCAGTGGTGATGGTGTTTATCTGTGTGATTTTAGGGGAAACTGTCTCTCTTTCCTTCTCTGGGTGGGGGAGGGTGTTGACTAGGACAGAACACAGCTCGTGCACTCCCACCAGATGCAGCCCACATGGGCTCTCGCTTTATTCAGATGGGGAAATGGCTGTGACAAGAAAGAGGCTCCTCTAGGTCACCCTGGAAGGCACCAGCAGGCTTGCTGGAAGCCACAGTACCTGGAGACAAGGCTCAGAGGAGTGACGTACGTGTGTGTGTGTGTGTGTGTGTGTGTGTGTGTGTGTGTGTGTGTGTGTGTGAAAGTGAGAGAGACAGAGACAGAGAAACAGGAGGGGCAGGACGGGTCAACCGTGGTGCCCTCAAGTCAACTACAATGTCACAGCCACTGACACTCAGGCAGATGTTAATCACAGAGTGAACTGACCACAGACCAAGAACTGCAAAAGGAAACCCAGAAGCCCAGCACACGGGGAGCCCACTCAGCACACAGGGAACCCAGCACACAGGGAGCCCAGCACACAGGGAGCCCAGCACACAGGGAGCCCAGCACACAGGGAGCCCAGCACACGGGGAGCCCAGCATACCTCCCACCTTGCAAGGAGTCCTATTTAGTCTGATGGGATTTCCCTGGGGACCCCAGTGGTATCAGAAAAGCAGGGCAGCTACGCAACACCAAACCCAAACCAGTTGCCACAGCTGTTTTCTGGGCTCCAAAGGGCTAACACAACACACCCACCCGTGTGCTCGGACGCAGGAGGCAGGATCTATATGCAGAGCTGTGTTCCCCTGCATACTCCACCCAGAGGGCACACGGGCACCCCTCTTGACGAGCCCTATGGGTAAGGACCTTTGAGAAAGACAAGCCTCTTGGAGACAGAGCACATTTAGGGAGGGGGCAGGCAGTTGGAGCTTGGGTATCTCTACCCAACCTCATTGCCGCCATCCTGAACATGTGAGTGTTGCCCAGCCCCTGTGTAATCAGAGGCAATGAAGGCTCCAAGCACACCCTTATTCAAAATGTATCAACAGAGGAGAGACCTTGCGGCTTGTCCCCACCACTGCTCCTCTAGCGAAGACCCTACACTGGCAGACAGGCTGGGCTGCAGTCTTGGGTATCAGAGCCTTTCCTTCCCTCTTGTCTTCCTGTGTCCTCCTGGAAGAGAAATCCTCTTTGTTTGATGAGAACTGAAACCCTTCCCTGTGCACAGTAGCTGAGCTAGGCACACTGGCCAGAACAGGAAGGTCTTGGACCCTTGTTACCTGCTGACCTGAAGGCCTGGATTCTCCCCTAACAGCATTCCACAACGAGACCCCCCGCCTTGCTCTCCTCGAGTAGAGGGGCTCAGCACCCCTGGAGCCCGGTGGACTCACTTGGTGAGATGGTCTCAACTGAAGGAAACTGAAGCTGGCCACCCTCACACAAGGGCTCTTTGCCGCACAGCGGACAGAAGCAGCCCCATTCCTCAGACTGAAACTGACAGCGATTCCAGGCACAAAAGCAAGAGAAATCCCTCCCATGCCCTCTGGGAGCCCAGGCACCACATGGTATCCGCAGTGCTTCTGAACCAAAGATCAAACTGTCTCGGCGATGATTCAAAATCAAAATAAAGCGGACAGGAAGCAACACGCTGATTGCGCGTAGCGGGCATTCTTCAGACAGCATCGAATGTCATCAACAACTGACACTAGACTGTGACTGCTGCCACCCACTAGGGGCCTTTTCACATGGGAACAGGCCAGTATGTGGAACGCAGTTCAGAGGGGAAGGACTACAGGAACAGCGCGCTAGGACCCAGAATTCCTTCCAGAAAATTGGCCCTTGCCCAGTGCGTTAATGGTTCGATGTGTAACGGTCACTTCAGTAAACCACTGTTAGGAAGTGGACTCACACATCACTCACAAGATTTTAAAAAAAAAAAAAAAAAGGCAACTGGGAAAAGCAAATTTTTCAGGTTAAAAAAAAAATCAGGAAGTCCTTTCCAGATCACCCCAGTTCTACTTCACTCCCTGCCCCCAGCGTTGCTGCCAAAGTCCGGAACAGCCGAGTGCAGCCTGAATGCCAGGCCTGCCGGCCACAGCTCCCACGGCCAGTTCTCAATGAAAGGAGGGGGAGGTGCTGGCAGCTCCATCACCACGCCTGCAGCGCGCAGACACACAGTCGCGCGCGCACGGCCTCGAAGCCTGCAGCACCGCACAGCAGAAAGGGTGAAGGGGCGCCCCCTCCTTGGGAAGGAAGTTCCTGCGCACAACTGTGAAGGGGACACCCGGAGACTAACATCAGGAGCCCTGATCCCTGAAGTGGGAGCACCCGGACGGAACCGCGTGTGCTCGTGCATGTAAACTCAGGCACCCGAGACCCGGAGCGGTCCGGGAACGGTCCTGCGCACACGGACACACGCAGACAGCCACGCGCGCTCACGCACACAAACAGACGCCCCCCTGATGCAGGTCCCGCCTCCCCCGCAGTGCCACGGAGAACCGGGCCGTCTGGGCGGGGAAGCACGAGTAGCTGGTCCAGCCGGGCCGGATACCAGGAGCAGGGGTCTGGGGAGCTGCTCACGCCACCGCGGTCCTCACCGATCTTGATCCTCACGCTCTGGAAGACCCGCAGCCCCTCTTCCTCCACCGCCATGCTGCTTGTCGACCTCGCCAAGGCGCGAGGGCCCGGCAGCGCGGCCGCAGGAGGAGGACAAGACAGGCGGACAAGGCCGGCAGACGGAGCCGAGCGGCGGATGCCCCCGGAGCCCCGCGCGCTGCGGTCCGCGCTCTGCTCGGGTGCACCGCCTCGCGTCCGTCCATTGGCAGAGCTCGGGGGCGGGGCGGTGGGCGCCTTCCTCTGCCGGACCCCCGATCTTCATTGGCTAGGGCTCCGCGCGGGGCGGGGCCGTGCGACTCCGCCTACTGTGAAACTCCGCGTCCCTTTGGTCGGATCTGTAAGGGGGCGGAGTCCGACTCTGAGGCGGGATCGGAAGGGACTCGGGGTTTAGCGGTTTATGTTCTCCTGATCCCCGCTGATCTGGTCTCCTCGGACCGGGGACAAAGAGAGGGTCGTGAGTACTGTTCTGTGTTTTAACCGCCAGCTTCCGCGAGACTGACTCGCGCTTAAAATTTTAAAAGGTTATATTCAAGCCAAAGGAATGAGAGGAAAAGATTTCCTCTGGTCCCAGCTTCAGCACCTAAGAGAAGTGACACCTGCCGATCGCGCTGAAGAAATCCGACGGTGATGCACAGCCAACATGAGGTCCGTGTGGACCCCCGCGCCTAGCAGGCAGACCCTGCTTGCCCCCTGGTGTACTTGGGTAGCCTCTACGTGGGCCTTGAGTTTGGCATCCCGGGACCTTCAAACCTGGTGCTTACTGGCAATTTGATTGGTATCCATCCAACTTTGAGGTTGTTGGCTCTCTGCAGCCAACAGACCTCTCTGAGGTCCTATCCTGATCCTTCCACTAAGACGAAGTTTTATCTGCAGCTGGGACAACTCCCAGCTTCCTCGAGGGGCAAGAGCTCCAGGCTCCTCAGCGGCCTTTATGGTAGTCACGGGAAGTGTCTTCCACAGACTTGGCCCAGGTGGGTGCTAAGTGGTGACAGAGGCGACCTCTGCAGTGACCTTGAAGAAGGCCCTTCCTTCAGCAGTGAAAGCTGGATGGGAGACCTGTGGGAAGAATACACTGCCTTTAGGAGGTCTGAAAATTGAGCCGGCACTGGCTGTGGAGTCAGGGGGCTAAATCATTGATACACCAACTGAAAGAAAAGTGTGACACAAAAGCCCCTTGGTGCTATGCGGTAGCTCTGTCACCAGTTGCCAGAGAACAGACCCACGATGCACAGGCCAGGACTATCAGTAAGGCATTGGGACTCCAGGGGTCACAGTCAGGCTCTGTGAAGGGAGCCCCTCTAGGTTGACACATTAAAAACCCTGAATTCCTGGCTCAGGAATTTAGCTCAGTGGTAGCGCACTCCTTTTTTTTTTTTTTTTAAGCTTTATTTATTTATTATGTACACAGAAGAGGGTGCCACATCTCATTACAGATGGTTGTGAGCCACCATGTGGGTGCTGGGAATTGAACTCAGGACCTCTGGAAGAATAGTCGGTGCTCTTAACCTCTGAGCCATCTCTCCAGCCCTTGAATTTAGCTCAGTGGTAGAGAACTTGTCTAGCAAGCTCATGGCTGGGCAGGAATGGAATGGGGTTGGGGCGGGGGCCGGGGGGGGGGGGGGGAGACAACACAAAATTATGGAAAGACTGTCTTAGGTTTCTATACTGCGATAAGACACCATGACCAAAACCAATGTGAGACCACAAAACAAATGAACAAAAAGCTGGGTGGTGGTGGTGCACGCCTTTAATCCCAGCACTCAGGAGGGAGAGGCAGGCAGATCTCTGAGTTCAAGGCCAGCCTGGTCTACAGAGTGAGTTCCAGGACAGCCAGGGCTACACAGAGAAACCCTGTCTCAAAAGAAAGAATGAGAAGGAAGGAAGGAAGGAAGGAAAAAAGAAAGTAAAAGAGGGCTGGAGAGATGGTTCAGAGGTTAAGAGCACTAGCTGCTTTTCCAGAGGTCCCGAGTTCAATTCCCAGCAACCACATGGTGGCTCACAACCATCTATGAGATTTGGTGCCTTCTTCTGGCCTATAGACATTCATGCAGGCAGAACACTGTATACATAATAAATAAATAAATCTTTAAAAAAAAAAAAAGAAAGCAAAGGAAATGGTTTGTTTTCATCATGGTCCATCATAAAAGAAAGTCAAGTGGGAACCTGGATGCAAGAACCGAAGCAGAAGTCGCTCAGGAACCCCACTTACTGGCTCGCTTCTATTGGCTTTCTCAGCCTTCTTTCTGACCCAACTCAAGGCCGCCTGACCAAGAGTGGCACTTCCCAGAGTAAGCTGGGCCTTCCCATATCAGTCATCAATGTCCTACAATCAAGAAATTCCTGCAGACTTTTCTACAGGAAATGCAATAGAGACTTTTCTCAATCGAGTTTCCTCTTCCCAGATAACTCTAGCTTGTGTCAAATTCACACACAACACACACACACACACACACACACACACACACACACACACACACACACACAGCCACCAAAGGAGAGAAAAGGCCAAGAAAACCTGGATTCTGGACTCCTTTGAATATGCTCAGAGGTCTTATTTCTCTCAATAAAAGCAGATGACCTCTCTATGCCTGGAAACACCTTGAGACCTCTGCAAAATACTACATACCTGCTTCTGTTCCATCCACTGGTCCCTTCCCTTTACTGGATCAGCTGGAGCCAGGCCGTAAGGAAGGAGACCGCTGACCAACAGCCCTTCCAAGACACTGAATATGGGCCCCAGGCGCTGAGGCCAGGCAGATGTAGACCTGAAGGACACGGAGCAGAGTGGCTCATTGAAATTTTGCCCACACCTACAAGGGGGACTCAGTACCCTAGCAAATACCCGCTGCTCCTCGGACAGCCTTTTGAAGCTGTTAAAAAGCACGCCCCCACATTTGCTGAAGCAAGGCTGCCAGGTTGTCATGGCAGACAACAGGCATGGGTTTCACATCCCCAGAGAAGTGGCTCACTGGCCTCTGAGCCGCTCTGTGAGGCTGGGCTGACGATGCTCTATTACAAGGTGACACGGGTGTGCTGGCGAAGGTGCACTTGGGAGATGCTCAGGGATGACGGCCCATACAAGGATGAGATAAGACAGGCCTGAGCACCTAACAGCCGTGAGGACAGTGGCAGCAGGGAGCCAGGAGATGAGAGGAAAGCTGGTAACCAGCCGTCAGCAGCAAGGAGTATGCAGTAGCATCATGACCATCGAGACAGGAGAGCCCGGAGGTAGCTACTTGAGCAAAACACTCCCAGGAGCTCTGGCTTAATTTACAAAACCAAAGGGAACCAAATATCGATATCAAGAAACTAAAGAAAATTTTCCTCCCCCAAAGCCCTTGCCATATATTTCCAGAGTGGGCAGCTTTCACACCTACAGACGGCTAACTGAGGTGAGTCTGAATTCTGAGGATGACACCTGGTGTGTGTATGTGTGAGCACATGAACGTGTGCGCGCATGCTAAGGACATCCCAAGGGCCTGCAGCCACCTAGCAGGGGCTTTCACTTAGCTATTTCTAGAAGAGCTGGCACTTGTGGTCCCAAGGTCATTATGCTGCTGTGCAATGCGGATTTGTGAAGCTAAAACAAAAAAAACAACGGAGCCCGGCATAGGTCTGGCTCACAGTAGACCAACTGTACACTTAGCTTCATGAAGGCACCATCCCCTCTTGGGCTGAATGTGAAGTTTGTATAGGTGAATTTAGTGGGAGTCGGAACACCCATGCACGCCCTTGGCATGTAGGCTAAGAGCTGTCCCTGTTGGGAAGGCCAACCAAGACATCATAATGCGAGGTAAAAGGCAATAATCCCAGGACAGAGACCAATGCTGCCCCTGGAGCATAAGTGGTCAATATGATTCAGTAGACATGTTCCTGAGAAGCCATATAGATTTTGAAGGGGAACAATAGGTAACCACAGACTTGATACACTAGCCATCTTACTACAGCTCTGGTGCCAGCCCCTGCCCAGGCTTCCAGAAGCTGCCCGCCAAGTGTTCCTCTTCCTGCTATGGAGGGAATTGAAGTAGTTCATCTGCAGCCTCTTGGCATAGCTTGTCCCCACAGCTTCCCAGTCCTGTTCTGTACCACCTCAGCCTAATCTGTGAGTTGACACTGTGGTTATCAAAACGTTGACAGGTTGCGGGAGAGAACCAGGCTTTGCTAAGACATGCTCAGGGGGGTCCAGAAGCAAGTTAACAGTGTTGTGCAGGCTACTTGCTGAGGCCTCCAGGTGTCCAGAGTTCCCAGGAACACCAGGAAATTCCTCATAAACAAGGGCAGTTATGTCACATATTTCCCACTCTTCTCTGTGAAGAAGGGCCTGAGGCCACGGGTTCATTGTGAAATTGGAGTCACTTCTCCAGAAGGGTAGAGAAGGCTGAAAATTTGAGGTGGGCACAGAAGAGAACCCTATAGGCAGCTCAGGATGTAAGGAAGATAACCATGCTGTCTGACATGTACTACCCTCAAGACCCAGGGAGAGAACACTGGTGTGGTCTGTGGATGCAAAGTCCATGCTGCACTTTGGTTGGAGGAACATAGACCGGCCCTCCAGGCTCTGAAGGGAACATCCCTAAGAAAGAAGCATGATATTCAGCAAGCAGCCTTTGGTCCAGCTCAGCCCTGGTAGAGCAGTGTAGCCATAAGACCATCACTCAGCCATTTAGAGTTGGAAATCTATGATACCCACTGGGGGTGCCAGGCAGACCCAGCTGCCACTTATCCTAGGATGCAGATGGCCATGAGCAGGGCTGGGGAAGAAGCTACTGGGCCAGCTGGGGACACCACAATTTATATCACCTTGGACTGAATCTTGGTCTATTCCTACCAGAACCTGAGGCTTCTACCACGCAAGCATCTCAGCAACAGAGCACCTGTGCCTTAGAAACATATTCCTGAACCCCTCTACAATCCTGTTCTCTTGTGTTCGTCATCCTTACCACATGACAGAACTGAGGGGAGATCCCTGTGCCACAGTCATATGTCACAAGACTCTCTGGAGAACCCCAGGATGGTCACCAAGGAGAACAGGTGTCACTCCCAAGGCTGCCCTGCTCACTGTCTGCTGTGTTTAACCAGACACACAAGTCTGTCATACACAGGGGAGACCCCCTTCCCCTTGTGAAGCATAGGTGCCTATGAAGCATGTCTTAGAGTCTCCCGCCAAAGAACTATGTGGACCTCGCTGTTGTGGGACAATTTCCTTCAAGATTGAAA